CAAAAAAAAAAAAAAAAAAAATTAAAAACAACTCAAAATTCGGTTCCCCGGGAACCGAATTCTGAGCACAAAAAAAAGAAGAAAAAAAAATTTGAAGCTCAGAATTCGGTTCCCGGGGAACCGAATTCTGAGTGTGAACAGTAAACGGTTCTAGTTGTGTAAATAAAGTTGTACAGGTGATATTTTGGTAAAAAAATTTAAAAAAAATATTATTTACCTAAAAAATTCCCAGAATCGTTAAGCTCAATATCCTCGGACGAGATAGCTAGCTAAGAAATAAATGCATAGATGAATAAATAAATAATAGAATTGTGTTGTTCCATTGACAAATCACATCAAATAGGTATACAATTTCTACACAACCAAATTTCCAGTTATTGACAGTGACAGTGAAAGTAAACAAATTAGTTTAGTTTGTTTTTCTTTTTCCCCATCATAATTACCCAAAAATGTGATTGATTAAACATTGTACAAAATGGAGTATATCATGGTTAATTAAACAGGTACAGTGCAGTGATGCCAAGAAAGTATGAAAGCATAAACTAAACTAGTTTGTGTTTCTATCTTAATGTTCTCCACAGCACTAATAAATAAAGTAAAAATAGAGATGATATATTATTAACATAACTAAAGTTTTAAGTCCAAATATCCATGCAGAACCCTGTAGAAGTTTTTGAACAATTTGGAGCCAAAGAGCACATGACTTTATTCAGTCACTAACCGATGAACATGAGAATTGAGAATGACTTTGTTAAGAAAAAAGAATGTACAAAATTGGTGACTGATTTTAAGTTTAAACAACTGAAAGATCTTGAGACAGATGCAGAATATACGATGTAATGTACCTTGAGAGAGGGCTCAAGAGACATTATGCAGTGTGTGTGATATTAACAACCCTGTTCAACCTCTCAAGAATTCCACTAGCTTTTCTCTTGGCCCTTGATGTTCCATTCTGTGCAAGCTCTGAGATGGTTTTGTGGCTGTTCTCCTCTTCCCTTATTTCCTTCAACTTTGATCTATCATACAAACAAATAGTTTGAAGGATTGCCACACAATTCTCCTTGTTGCGGTCGCACGCGCTTTCTCTGATGATCCTCAGCAAGCTAGGAACGGCTCCAAGATCTCCCATGTCATGAACAGCCCTCTGATGAGTAGAAAGCAGTGCAAGGATAGCCAGAAACTCGTCCACATGAATCTGGTTCTTTATTTTTGTCAAAATCACCCTTATCGCGCCGTCCTTCACTGCTCTAGCCTTGTTCTCATGCATCACACATATGTTGAAAATTGCTGAAGCAACATCCTTCATGGCTAAGGGATGCCCTTCTTCCAAGAGGTCGATTAACGGCTTTAATGCGCCGGATTTCCCTATGAGTTCCTTGTTTGAGTCAAGAGCTGACAAGGTGAAAAGGGCTGCTGCAGCATTGCTTCTTGTTTCAATTGTGCCTGATCTCAATGCTCTCATAAGGAGTGGAATCACCATTGGAGTTTCAGCCACTAGTTTTTTGTTGTTGTCATGAATAGAGATATTGAGGAGGGTTGTGATCACATCTTCTTGGAGATCAGGGTGAATGCTACTAAAAGAATCACTGCCACAAATTGGTTTAAGCAATTGAGGAATGGCATCTGCAGAATCACAGAAAAGTACACGGAAACAAGGATGTTTCTTTGTCAACAAGCGCAATTCCTTCGCTGCTGTCTTCTGATCAGAAAGTGTTGAAGACATTTTCTTGAGCAAACATAGAAAATGTTCGCGATCGGCTTCGTTTAAACCATCCTCATCAATGTATTGAACTGTATTTGACAACTCAATTCCTTGATTTTTAGTCCATTGTTCTATCATTTCCCTTATGAGGTGATTTGGTATAAGCAGTGTGTGTGAGAGGACTTGATGTGTTCGAGGGCAAGTCCTATTTCCAGCATTTAGCCATTTTTGGATGAAAGGTCTATCATATGTCTGCATAATTGAAACCAAAAGATGCCTCGTATTAACAACCAAAAGAGGAAAAACAAAATGAACAATTATTCATAATTAGACAGGGAAGAAATCAGCACAATCTGCAATTTGTTCCAAACCATCACTTATTCACTCAAAACCAATCAAAAGTATCAATGCATAGAAAAAGGCTTAGGACAGAAAGAAAAAAAAGGTAGTTGGGGTGGTGGAAGACATCACTGTAGTAATTTGGAAAAAGAAAAAGGCCAAGAACACTAGAGTTTAATTATTCCCTTTTGAGAAAACCAGTCAAAAGTTCTACACAAAGATACAATCACCACCGCCACTCACTCAAGCATCACATTTATGGACAGAGAATATTATTCTTTTTTCACCTCCCACTCTTTCTCTTTCCATCCACAATGGCTATCATAGATATATCATCAAATTGCTCTTTTCCTTTTTCTTTTTCCTCTTTTTGTTTCTTCAAACGTACATTTGAAACATAAATGTAGTAAAGCTAACAACATAAACATAGAGAAGATCATAGAAATTCAGCAAATCAAACAAAAAGTACTTGGCATTGCACTTCCATAGAAAGCAAATGTAGACAATTGCAAAGAAAAATCCAGCAAGTCCCACTCACATTGAACAACAAAATGTAAAACAGTTGAACAGGTTAGAAACTGTTTGGATTAAAAAAAGACAAAGAGAAAACCACAACTTCAAATGTTCAAACGATTTATCTTCACAATAATTAAAATAGAAAATACGATTACCTTCATTAAATAAGTAAATAAATAAGAAGATATTTCTAAGGTTCTGGACTGGACTAGAAAAGAACTGAATATATTCCTTTTCTATCTTTCCCATACCTTTTTAGTCACTTAACACAGAATAAAGTACAGAAATTCCGGCAAAAGAGATGGACAAAAGGCCAAAACCAGATTCTATATCTCCACTTTAGTTAAATTAAATTCCAAGAAATGAAAATTGAAAAAAAAATGTTAAGAACTTCCTATCCCTTTTTGCTACACCATGATAATCCATCTACTCATTTTTCTTGGTACCCAGATATTTATTAAAATTAATAACAATAATAACAACAACCTAGTTTTGTTTCATTTTGTTTTTCCTTCTGTTCCCAACATTTTCTCAGAAACCAAACACAGGCACACAGCAAACTGCTATTATTAATAACACAATTCTCTTATAATTTTTTCTAACACTTAATAAAAAAATTAATATAAAAACAAATGCATTTAATGTCTTAAAAATTTATAAAAATTCAATATACTTTGTTTATTTAGAAATTAAGATAATCTGTAGAATTTTCTTTGTAGAATTCTGATTTTGTGATACTAACCTGACCAGAAGCCACAATGACAGGATCTCTCATCAACTCCTTGGAAAGTGGACACTTGAATTCGTCAGGGCAAGAGGTGACACTCTTATTGTGCAGCTTCAAAGACAGTGAAGACCTTTTTCTGAGCTTCAACTCCTTGAGAACACAGAGAGTCTCTCTTGCTTGATCAATGATCTCAGTGCTGCAATCCTCATCATCCACAATGGACTTCACCAGCCTCTGCAGTTCCCTCTTCAACTCTATGGCCTTCTTCACCATCACCCCTGGATCAGACTCCAACACCCCTGGCTTTGCCATGTGACTCTGATTCTGATTCTGATGATGATGATCCCAATGGATCAGACCCAAAAGCCTTCAACTTTAGACAACCCCAAAATTTTATATGTATTGAAAATTGAAAATTTGGCTCAGGGAATGGAGAAGCAGAGAATATCAGTGGAAGCACTATGTCTCATCTCCATTCGCTCTTTTTTCAAAGAAAAGAAATTTGTTTGTGTGTGTGAGTGAGACTCTCTCTCTCAATGTGCTTTTATTATTCTGATGGCTTCTATTACCAGTAACATTTAACTGTTGAGAGGAAAACAAGGACATTACCATAAAGACACAAGCTCATAACTCCACCTTAGTTTTCTCTCACTAGACTTTATTCCCCTTATATTATAAATATCTCACTTCCTTGGTTTGGGCATTGCCATATTTCATCCGCAAAGTCATTCACTCAAAAATGTGAGAGTTAGAGAGAGAAAAAAGTGGTAATATTCTCATAGGCTTATCCCACAAGTTTCACCTTGGCTTTTTCTTTCATTTTACTAATCTACTGGTTAAAAATTTAAAATGATCATGTGTGCTATATGTTAAAATATAAAATAATTATGTAATTGTAAGCATTGGATGTACTGTTTGGTCATTTAGATTATTATTTTTTTCATTTTGCAAATTGACTATTCAAGTTCTTAATCTACAAGAAATTTACCTTCGAAGTTACCTCGGGATTGAACCACTTAGTGAAAGAGGGCATGCCCTTGAATTCCAGTGTAGCAGAATTCTCAGCTGATCCTGGCTTTGCTGAGAGGGCTGCAAAGTTTTCTTGCTTTGGAAGTAGGAGTTTCAATGGGAGAGATCTAGTAATAATGGCTTAATAATAATTCATGGGTTGTTGAATTAAATCTTTTGTTGTTGTATACAGCAGTCTTCCTAATCTTCTGGGCTTCAATTCAGGCGTAATGAAAGGTGAGTCCTCACTGATCAAAGCTCAACTTTCATCTGTGGTGCATTATTTGAACCTGCTTGTACCAAAAATAGTAATAAGATCAATGTCAATTTTTTGGGCCTAATGAAAATGATATTTTCATTAACGTGTCAATAATGCGTGACTTTTCTGCTTTATTACCGTTGAAACTCGGGGATTGTATTGATGTTTTCCTGTTAGCAGTTTGGCCAAACCCCATCTGAACAATTGTGTGGAGGTCATCTTCACAGAATGTTAATGGAAACTAAAAAATCATTAGACACGAGTTAGGGGAATAAAAAGAGAGTTTAATTTGTTTGTTTTATTTTTACACTTTCAATCAATCGCAAATAAGGATAAGTATCACTTTTTGAAGTGCAATTTGCTATTGGATGCCAGCATGAAAATGCTTTAAACTCATAAAAAGAGATTTAGAAATCAAAACATTGTAGTAATGTAATGGACCTTTTTTCTTTGAATATTAATTTGTATAGAAAAGTAGAAGAAACTTATTATTACCTGAGAGCCACCTTCATTAAACCCATTTAGGGGAGGTAACAGCATGCCAAGATTTTGGCACAAAGAAGTATCTAATGGGTCCACTGAGCAGTGGGACACCGTTCTGTTAGGTGTGTTATTATGGATAAATGGATTTTGCTGAGGCTGGTGTCCATAAAAGGCTTGTGCTGAGGAATCTAATGGGAATATTGGATTTGGGTGTGTTGCCAAAGAATTATTTGATTGAAATACCTGAAATTATCAAAAGCCAATGAACCCAAACTCAGGAATTTTTTAAAAAATAAATAAATAAAGTAACAATTTTGTTGAAAAAGCAAAGCATATATTATTTGTCTAATGTCATGGAACTTACATCTTTTGAAGTAAGACTCTCAATACTAAGATCCATCCTTGTGTTAACAGAAGCCAACTTCATAGACAGGAACTGGCATAAGGGAGAAAAGGCATAACTTAATGAGCAAGAATACAAACAAACACATGATGACAATCATTTGAGAATTGAGATGCTTATCGGCTAAGATTGGTTACCTCAACTTGTCGTTGCAATGACTGAACATAATTTATAATTTCATCTAGCATAAGTGCCTTGCCAGTGACCTAAAAGGAACAAATAAACAATTCATACCCAAGTCAGAAAAAAGTACCGAATTCACCAACAGAAGCCAGTCTTCTTTGAATTTTTAACTTTTTCTACACACCTTGTTGCAACCTGGTACAAGATCTTGGAGCAGCTTCATCCTCTCACTGATTTTCTCTCTCCGTACCTATTTCAAGGTTAATAAAATGTCAACATGAAAGCTACACATGTTTTGTAAGTGTCATTAATAGGAACCAAAATCAAAAGCACTAATTCTTACACGTTCTGCAAGACTATGGCTGTCAGTGGCTTGGCCTCTTCTTGCTCTTACATGAATGTAATCTTTTGGAGGCTCAGGAGGTTTTGAGTTACTTTTCTTTTGTTTCTCATCCACTGCTCTAGACTCTTCCTCAACTTTCACTGTCCCGTTTTCATTTCCTTCACCCTCATTTGTCTTGCAGCGCTTTGAATTTGAATCATCACTAGCTTCAACACCCTGATTTGAAAAGGACACAGTTGAGATTTCAAAATTGCCTTGCAGAATCAAGGTTTTTAAAAAACAGTCCGCAACTGGGTATATGACCACAATTTCTCACAATAATAAGAAACATGACAAAATCACGATCACAATCACAATTTAGAACCTTTTATGGAATCAAAAAAACATCACAAAATAGAAGTTTGACTTTTAAAAAAGTGTTTTTTGGTTACCTTAGTGGGATTAGTAGAGTTTGAAGTTTCTTTGGCTTTTCCTTTGGAAGAAGCTTTTCTTTTCCTGGAATTCATATCTTGAGAAGTTTTCCCCCCAGTTTCTCCATTTGGGGTTTGCTCAGAAATTGTAGATTCCTCTTGAGAATTGGTCACTTCCATTTTGTCCTGCTCCTGAAATGCAGAATTCTTGTTCTCCGGGGTACCAATTTGAGATCCAAGTGTTTTCAGCAATGGACTACTTGAGACTCTTGGTAACTTGCCGTGTTCCATTACTGGTGCAGATCTCTGAGCCAATTCACCATTGTTCACCCCGAATTGGGCACTCCTATCATTGAAACTCCTGCCATCTGTTTGAAAAGTTATATATATATATATATATATATTAAAAAAAACTTAAATGTGTAGTCCTCTTTGAAATATAATAGTTGTTGAGATTTTAATTTTTCAAATTTTAATTCAACAATTTTAGTCTTTTAAATATTGTAATTATGTAATTTATGTTTTTAATTTTTAATTAATTAATTTTAGTTTCATAAATATTACAATTATATAATTTTAGTTTATTAAATATTGTAATTATACAAAAATTTTATCAATTTAAATTATATATATTAGTAATTTTAGTAATATATATATATATATCATTTAATATATGAAAAAATATAATATATGCAATTTAAATAGGTCAAAAATTACTTAATTGTGATTTTTGAAAGATTACAATTACATAATTAAAATTTGAAATACCAGAATCATATAATTTTTATATTTAAAAGGTTAAAATTGTTCGATTAAAATCTTAAAATACTAAACTTACACAATTAGAGATAAAAATGTAATTAAATAAAATGTAATAACACTACTTTTAATATATATGTTTTCGGTTAAACATTATATTAGCCTTGTTCAGAGAAAGTGGACCCAAAGGAGACTCACGTAAAGTTATTAATAAAGAAAATTTAACTTTAAAATCCAACCAAAATAATTCTTTATGTATCTTTTCTTAGTTTAAATATTTTTAAATTATTTAAACTGAAAACAGTCATACAATGAAAAATATTTGTCAGACCATTATACTTAATATGCCATCCTGAGTTTGACTTCATATAAAAATTAATGTCATAATTAATTCATTTAAGTTTTAACTGATGACCTGTCAATACATAAATGAAGTGCAATTAATAGAGTTGGACTTTCTATATAGATATTTGAGTTGTTATATACACTCATGGTTAGTATCAACAAAAAATAAATTCTAATGGTTAGTTAAAATAAAATTAAAATTAGAATTATGAAAAAGTTAATTTGATAACTAATAAATAAAAAAATGATTTAAGTTTATGTATTACAGAGATACTTATATATACGTAAGGTGAGTTTTTAATTATTTAATGATGGTTGATCTTGTTCTGATAAATATGTAAATTTTAACCATCAAAAATAGGTTTAGTGGGTAAGAAATAAATTTATATTTACAAAATCGTAAATTTGATCCTAATTGTAAATGTCCTTTTTAAGTCTTAGATGTGGTTTGATTTTGAAACCTAACTTACTTAAGTTTTTATTAACTTTGTTTTTATATATAAAATCTAAATATTTAATTCACTAAGATTAAAGAAATTAGTTAATATAATTGATAATAATATTTTTTTTCTATTTTTATAATCTTTTCCAAAATTACTCTTATATTATTTTACTCTTCTAGTTAATATTTTTATTTTTCTCTTAACTAATTAGAGTATGGCTTGTATTATTTTTCTCCCATTTTTAATATTATTCTATCTCAACCCCTTTGAGTTCTCCTCCAAAGGTGAACATGAACAAGATCCCCTCGGGATTGAACCACTTAGTGAAAGAGGGCATGCCCTTGAATTCCAGTGTAGCAGAATTCTCAGCTGATCCTGGCTTTGCTGAGAGGGCTGCAAAGTTTTCTTGCTTTGGAAGTAGGAGTTTCAATGGGAGGACCACCCAATTGGGGCTCAACACTAATGCTGAATTGGCTCAGAGATCTTCTCCATTGGTTGAAAATGGGAAGCTCCCTAGAGTCTCAAGTAGTCCATCATTGAAAGTGCCTGGATCAAACAAGAATTCTCCATTGCAAGACCTAATGGAAGTTGCCAATTCCCAAGAGGAATCCACAATCTCTGAACAAACTCCAAATGGGGACACTGGGGTGAAACCTTCCCCTTATATCAACTCTAGGAAAAGAAAAGGTCCATCCAAAGGAAAAGCCAAGGAAACTTCAACCTCCACCAACCCTCCTACGGTAAGGACTTCTCATGTCAAAATTCAAAATTGTTTTGTTTTACACTGTAGATTCAAATGGGCATGTCCTAAATCCCAAAGGGTCTTTCACTTCAGGCTGCTGAAGCTAGTGAAGACTCAAATGCAAAGCGCAGCAAGCCTAATGAACGCGAGGGAAATGAGAATGGCCAAGTGTCTTTCCCTTTGCTTACCTTTTTATTTACCACAAAAATTACATTCCCCTTTTCACACCAAACCCACACCCCTCTCAAATTGATCACTCCATTCCACCCTCTAATGTAATCTATTCATAAGTAACCATTTTATTTTTGGGACCTTGAGAGACATAACATAACATTCATTTATCCAACTTTTGGCTTCACCACCCTTCTCTTTTTTGGGGCTTGATTGTCTTTGTGCTTGATCTGTTCCTTGATGGAAAACCAATTCTTTCTCAATGCTGGTGTGCCCCCTCAGCTGCATTTTGAGCCTTCAGCACCACCTCCTTGTCCACCCTCATGGCAATCACTGTCTTCTGCCATGGATGTTCAAGTCACAGTTTTGAATTGTTCGACTGAGCAGACCCAGGATTGCTTCTACACCCCAACATGGGACAAGTCAACGGATCACGGTCTTCAGTTTGATTCAGCACTGAGTTCAATGGTGTCTTCTCCTGCAGCTTCCAATTCCAACATGTCAAGTGAGAATTTTGTCATCAGGGAATTGATTGGAAAATTGGGAAACATTGGTGGTGGTGGTGGTGATGAGATCTCACCTCATTCTCAGCCTTTGGTTTCTGCATCTCCCTACATCAATGGCAATAACAGCACCAACACTTCATGTTACAGCACCCCTTTGAGTTCTCCTCCAAAGGTGAACATGAACAAGATCCCCTCGGGATTGAACCACTTAGTGAAAGAGGGCATGCCCTTGAATTCCAGTGTAGCAGAATTCTCAGCTGATCCTGGCTTTGCTGAGAGGGCTGCAAAGTTTTCTTGCTTTGGAAGTAGGAGTTTCAATGGGAGGACCACCCAATTGGGGCTCAACACTAATGCTGAAAATATTTTAATCTAAAAATAATTAATATATAAAATAATATGGATTGAATCTTATATGAAAAATTAAATAATTCTTTAAAGTTTCGTCTTATAAATAAGAACTAAAATAGTATTTAATAATTTTTTTAATTTTATTATAATAATAATTAATAATTAATCAATAATGAATGAATTGCGAGACAATTTATATAAATTCCGTATCATTAAATTAATTTATCGACTATTTTAATGTTCATTTATATAACTATATGATAATATATAGTATAATAAAATGTTGACTTGCTTTTAAAAGACGAAAGAAAATATTGATTTTTTTTCTTAAAAAATGTTTAGTTGAGTTGAGACTCAAAAAGAAAATGTTAACTTTAAAATGGAATGCATATTGTTGAATAAAAACATTGTGGTAGAAGTTTGAATTTCAAATAAAATTGAAAGACACCAACATTTAATATTTCTTTCATCTTATAATAAATGTCTAGAAGAAAAAATTCATTCTAAAAATAAGTGTTATATTAAATTTTTAATGTAGTCTTAATTACCTTTTCATTTATATATTTAATAATATTATTGGATCTGTTTATTTAAATTTAAAAATGAATGATTCTAAATAAATTCTTTAAAAAAAAGTAACTTTTAAAGAAGCAACTAAAAGTTGTTTTTTTTTTTTAAAGCAAAAATTTGTTTATTTTAAAAAGAGTTAATCACCTATATACTGCTAGTGTAAAATTTTTTACACTGACAACCAATCAAATATTTTAATAATAGTATCATGTCAGTTACTTATTTAATGAAATAAAAATAAAATAAAATAATTTAAAAGATCTAATTAGTTGCCAGTGTAAAAAAATTTTACACTAGCAGTGTTTTGGTGATTAATTCTTAAAAAATATCAAACACATCAAAAAATAAATAAAATAAATCTTTATTTTAATAAAAAGAAATTCTTTTAGAGGAAAAAAAAGTTTTAACAAATAGATTCATTATGTAAAAAGTTGTTGTGTTGCATCGGTTCTAACAAAGAAGATTAATTCTAAAATTATTCTCTTTCATCAATTTATCTTTTATTTATCTATATAAAAGAACCTAAGATGACGTTAATTAAATTGATTGTACATATATTAAGAAAATTAGTTATGTGTATTAAATTTTAGTAATCTTTTATTATTCTTCCTAAATTGTCCTTTTTATAAATGTTAAAAGAAGTAATATAACTTAAATGTCATGCATTAAATGAAGGATATTTTAGAAAATGTATCATTAGATGAGGTAAAACTAATTGAAGTTTACTTATATTTAAGAACAAAAGAAAATGTGTAATTTTTTTCTCCTTATAATTGATATCAAAAAGAGTAACTTTCGAGTAAGTAAACTTTTTATTGGTAACCCGAATATTTCATTTTCTTTCTCAATTTTAGGGGTATAAGTGGGTTAGGTTAGGTTGGATTTGAATGAATTCATTACTTGACCCAATCAAAATTTAATAGATTGGGTTGGATTGGGTCAGGTTTGTGAAATTTTTTAAAACCCAACTCAATCTGATCACGATAGCTTGTGTTAATCAAGTCAACCTAATTAAATTTATTTATTTTTGCAAAAAATTAAATATTTTAAAATAGATGTAAATCATTTGAGACATTGTTGCAAATATAATGGTATAAACCTATAAAGCAAATAATGATACAAACTAAATTTCAAAATAAATTTGTTACATTATTATCAACTCAAAAACTAATATTAATTAATATAAAATAAATTTTAAAATAAATATATTATATTATTATAATATTATTAACCTAAAAATATAAAGTTCGTTATTTAGTAAGAGTGATAATGAGTATTATCCTAAACAAATGATCATTCAAACATTATTATTATTATTATTATTATTATTATTATTATTATTATAATATATGATTGGGTCCAATAAAGTTGGATCATAGGTTAAAAATATAAAAATTTGTTATTCAACTTATACAATATTAAATTTTGATCGAGTTAAATTAGATTTGATCCAAATATATATTATAAAAAATCTA